TTGTTTATGCTTGACCGCGGACGACATTACGAAGTAGATGTAAGTATTTGTGAATGCAATTGTAGCACGTTTAATATGTGTCGATATCCGTGCCGCCATCTCCTGCTGGCATATATTAAAAGACGGAATCTAACAGGTAAGCTATTTAAATTATAAAATATAAACTGCATAGCTCATCAACTTCTTAGGTGTTGCTGTAGATGGAAATTAGACAATACGCACAATTTACAAAACAACACAGGAATTTCATTACGGAGACGAAGTAAAGAATATATACAACTTCAACGGCTCCAAAGAATGTGCAAACAACGAATTGTTGAGAAATATGGTGAACGCTTCGCGAATCAGGTGGAGAGAAAGGTCTACAATTTTTACTTAAGAATTATAAACAGCTAGACAGCAGGTTTACGATTAACAGTTCTTTGTGGCTTTATTTTATACCACTATTTATACAACTTGTAAACTTATCTTTCCACTTTATTAGTCATGAAAAATCAATAAACTTTTTCTCATTTTTTATTTTCGTCTTCTTCATACTTTCATGGGGAGGTTTACCAATCGCTTTAACGAATAATTGTGTGTGAAAATTAAGAATTTGTACTACTGTATTAGTTACGAACTGTCGTTAGAACTTAGCGTTATATCGTTGTTCATTGTCAGGAATCAACGAGTCAAATAAAACAATAATGCGACTTCCACGTAAAACCTTACAGATTAAACAGCCGCCTTACATATTTTTCGTTGTCAGATTACGTCCATTATCAAGTTAGTATTAGTATGGAACTAGACAATTTCATGCAGCTAGTTCCCTGATAAGATGGATTACGTAATCCTTAGACGACCCTTCCACTCACACTTCTTTGCTAGATTATGTTAACTCTTCAGATTGTTTTTACTTATCTTATTAGTTCTTAATTCACTGATTTATTCATTACATCTAGAATTATCACACAATTTATCTTATATGCTTCTGAGCTTCACTCGACTATTACACCACCCATCCTTTATGTTCCCTTAAGTCTAACACCAAATGACCTTTGACCTGTTCAAGCATATACATATGTATAGTTATTATTGATAACCTAGGTCATTCCAATTATTTGCTTTCTATTATCTTTCATACTATTTCTTCCCTCAATCTTAAATTATAATGCATATTCAGTTGTATGCAACTTATAAGAAACCACGAAATGTAATGCAGTCACATGATTGTGCGTCAATATTTGTTTTGGCTTTATTTAGACCATAATTATACAAACTTACACGATTTATAATGTAAAACACTGCGTATGGTTGTTATATTTATATTTAAGTAATTCATTAGATGAGTGAACATAGCAGTAGGCAATATAAAACAGTTATCGTAAACTTGTAAACCGGTTTTCCACACGATCTTCCGTAATCCTAAATTCTATAAGCTTCATACTATTCTTAAAAACAACAAATCCGTTTTGAGACAAACAATTAAACTTTGTTCTCAGTATCATATTCAATAAGTTATTCAAATAGCAAGTAACAGACTGTGCCTATAAGTCTTTTATTTACAAGTAGTGACATTCATTCATAACTTCCTAAGTAACACAACAACTGTATTACCGAAACGGAGTGAAGAGTATATAATAACTCATTTGTGAACCCTATAACAGACACGTCACAAATCAGTATTAACTAAAAAACATGGTTGTGTCACCATTCTCACAAGAAACACCGATCGTTTTATTCATGAAGATTTTGTTCCTAATTGATGTGGTGTTATACACTATTACTGCAGACATTCAGAAAGCCGCTGGACAACACTATAAACGTCAATTGTTACTCACATATTTTTTTATACGTTACATAATTATGTCACTTCAGTACAAAACAATGGTACCTCTAATGGATATAACTTTTTATGGCTAAATACAAACAAGTTATATAATATTCACAATTAGGTTAACGCTTGATTGGTTCTACTTACATTTTATAAACAACTACCGACATCCATGTTCACCGTCACCGCAATCAAGGAGATGAACCATATGTAAAAGATTTTACGGTTCATTTTCATGAAAACTCTATCTGTGATGTATTTTTTGACTAGAAACACGGTGAACTTTACTTGCTTGAGTTTGTATTGTTACAAATAACTATATTAAGCTAACTTCAGATTTACTTACATGGTGAGCAAGAAATACATCAAACTGCCAATAAATTGGAATAAAAACTATGTTACAAGCACTAGCAATACAGAAATTGATGTGTCATGCAAAAAAGCCTGTTAATAGCTGATAAATAACGACACAAAAAATCCACGACAATATGTAACGTGTGCGCGAAAATCCGTGGCTTACCCGTCAGTCCGTGCCCAAAAGGTTAACGGTCACACACTGAACCACGCCATGACCTTGAGCTTAGTCAAACACAACCTTACTGTCAATAGTCCGGCAAAATGCAATGGGAACTTAGGTAACAAAAGATGAGTCTTTAATCGAAATCACGTAATAAAGGCTCAGACGAGGAAGACTGAAGAACGAAAGATGTATTTAAACGTGATCTGAACAAAGGTTAAATTACACGACAGGGAGAAGGAACAAATAAATGACAATACTGTTCAACAAAGAAGCTGCAGAGGGATTTTCATCGTTCTCTTTCCGTTACATCCACTCTCCCTTTTTTGTTATGTTAGGCTCATTTAAGCCTATTTTTGGATATATGTCATACCTCACACAATCCTCTGTGTTTCACACTCTGTTGGAAAACACTATTTCTATAAGTACCACTTTATAATCTTAACAGGCAGTTACAAGTTATGAACTGTGGGTAAGGCAACAACGCAGTGCTTTGATGGACTATAGTATAAGGTGTGCCAATCAGAGCATAACCATTAAGAAGGGTATAATGTAAGACAGTTGTTTATTAAAGCAGGTTGAAAAGTATAGAAGTGTATGAGTTATAGATAAGGTAACGAGTGTAGAAATAACATTAATTGCTAGTCGACATAGTGTACAGAAGAGTAAAAAGCTAACAGAGAATAAGTAGGAAGAAACTCACACCAACTTGGTGCTGATGTTATTTTATGTTGTCCTAACCAGTTGATGGGTATCAGGCTCCATAGATGCGAGACCACTAGTAGTAGGCATTTTGTGGTGCTTTCCTTACTGACGTCATTCATACATTCCAACAGTTACGACAGTATCCAGTTACGTCACCACATCATAGAAATGACTTAAATAAATAAATCAGAAGCAGGTTTCAGGTAGAAATATGCTTAACCAACCCGCTTACCTTGCCCACCTTCTGGTCCGTAGCTCAAGTTTACCTTATTCATACATACTATTATTATTATTATTATTGGCACTATTATTATAACACCTACTAACGTTTTTAAGAAAGTTATTCAGCATCTATCCTTATCTACTAGTTCAAACCAGTTCATGCTATTTTACATATTACGTGATTTCTAACTACATTGTCATCTGTCTCACCCCATGTTTACCATATTTATTCTGGTCATTTATCTCCCAACTTCGTTTAACATATAAAACTGTTCAAGATAACCGTTCATATTAGTCGCCCAACATTATTTATTTTATTTTGCATTTCAAAAAATCGAAAACTCACATGCCAATTCAGAGTGATTTACCCTGTCCTAAATTTGACCAGTTAGTTTTGATTATTAATCCTGAAATATGATTGTAGAACGTGAAGGGAAATTATTGAAAAGAATATTTTTTCGTTCAAATATCTACATTTCGGGATTACTGATGGTAGTGTTGTAGAGGTAGATAAATCCCAAAAATAAATTGTTCTGTAAGTCTTCGACATTTGATGCTGATCGCATTAGTTTTACTGGACACACCTAACTGGAGTTTCTCGATCATGCATCCGCATCACATCATGTGCGGTTACGCCATGCTACGCATCTTTTTCAACTACCAGCCAGTTTAGACCAAACGTTCTTCGACATACCGATAGCCTTCCAAATATATCTGCAGACCATTTCATTTCCGATTAAAAATATGTAACGTGTAAAAGCGTTGTAAAACTCCGAGAACATGTGGCAGTTTACCCATATTTTTAAATAAGTTGAAACTATTTATGCAGTTTTTATAGTTCTCTTTAGTTATTTGTACTCATAAAACTTAGCTGTTCTCAGTTTAGCCCGGAACTTTTCAGAACTTTTTCGTGTGACGAATATTGAGAATTGAACGCGGTTAATTTGAAACGTGCGGTTTTGTGGCTCTGTAGTATTGTGTTTCGACCTAATGAGTGAGGTTCGAAGGAGGAAGCCGGAGACCTTAAAAGATAGCAATTCGTCGGCTCAACAGTGTTTAAAATATGCACATAGCAAACACTCGGAAGTCCCTATTTCAGATAAATGCACTGACCGTCCATACAGCCTGTTTTGGTTGTTCCCTGTGACAGCTGTTTTCCTAGCTTGCTTCATTATTTGCGACCACAGTAGTGATTGTTGGCCTTGTTCTGACTCTCTATGCAGTTCTTTTAACGTGGTATCTGCTAGATCACACCTTATCAAGGTCACCAACTTCGGTCCCCGAACTGCCGGGTCCTTGGCTAATGAAGTTGCTGCTGCTGGCTATCTTCGGAATGAATTAAGGTTAATTGCATCTGTTTCTAACAAAACGGGGTTGGTCATTTCTCTAGACGAACATAAGTCTGGTTACTCGAGTTTCCGGGCGTTTTCTCATGTTTCTTCATACAATAATGTTCGGAACTTTGCTCTTCGTTTTCATGATCTGCGTGCCGAAGGTGGTAACCATAGCAAACTAGCATTTCTCATTAACTGTCATTACGATACAGCCCCTGGGAGTCCTGGTGCTAGTGATGCGTTTGTTAATTGCGCTGTCATGTTAGAAGTTTGTCGTATATTGGCGACGGGTTCGTTTGTTCTTTTTAATGACATTATATTTCTTTTCAATGGGGCTGAGGAAAGCCTGTTGCTTAGCAGTCATGCTTTTATAACGCAACACAAGTGGGCCACTGATATCGTCGCTTTTATGAATTTAGAAGGGGCAGGTGCTGCTAAACGTTTAATGCTTTTTCAAACTGGTCCTGGTCCGTCATCAGATGTCTTACTTGAAGCTTATGCAAGTGCTTTCAAACAACCATTTGCCAGTGTTTTGGGAGAAGATGTGTTCCAGTTCGGACTAGTGCCGTCGGACACAGATTACAGAATATTTCGTGACTATGGGCTTGTCCCAGGGTTAGATCTTGCGTATATACAAGACGGGTACGTTTACCACACTCCTTATGATACAGAGTCTCGTATTTCGGATCGTTGTCTTCAACTGTCTGGGTACAATATATTGAGTTTTGTCCAGTTGATTGCCAAAGATGAAAGAATACAAGGTTTCACCAAACTGACTCCGATAAACCATACATCAGAAACATTGACGCGTGTTTCAGGCTCAGGTTCACCGTCGGATATAAAGAGTGTCCCTCCACTGGTCACTAGATCGGCAACTCTTCGACACGTTTATTTTGATCTGTATGGCGCCTTTGTGATAATTGTTCCATGGGGGGTCTGGAAAACTGTCAACCATCTATTGTGTTTATTTCTGTGCTTCCTGATATTTAGAGCTAGACGACTTGTCTACGTCCGGTGGTATGGATTCGTTGCTGCTTTGTTAGTGCAAGTAGTTACAACATTACTAGGCTTCGCCTTTTCAGTCGTACTTGGACTTATGTATCACCATTACGGTTGCAGAATGGTTTGGTATTCAAATCACTATAATATTGTGGGTATGTTTATTCTACCAGTAGTCTGGTGGTTTGTATGGTCGCAGGCTTACTTATTCAAAATACCCGAAGGTTCTGTATTTAAGTTTCTTGGGATTTCTAATTACTTTTCAAGTATATGGCAGCATAATACTTTAGATTACTTCTATTCTTTAGAAACCGACTTTTTTGATTCTGGTGTATTTTTAATAGCACTTCAGTCATTTTTGTTGTCTTTAATTAATGCTCCTTCATCATACGTTTATACATTCTGGGTTGCGTTTGGGCTTATATTTAAGATGTCTGATATTCGAAATGCTTCACCAATCAAACTAAAATTTTGTCAGACCGTCCGTTTTGTTTCATTCTTAGCCGTTACTTCAATGCATACATATAACCTTAATTTATTTCTTAACTTTATGATACCGATTATGGGACGTTCGGGTCATGCTATCAAACCAGATTTATTCCTTTCTTGTTGTATATTTATCATCATGCTACCTGTGATGCTTCCATCCCTAGGACGGCTACAATGCACCTCGAGAACTGGAAGTAAATATCTTTTCTTGATGTTGCTAAATGCTTGCTTGTCGTATGCAATCCTCATTCATGCATCAAATTATGGATTCCCGTATAGTATCCAGCCATCTCCAAATTTTTCAAACCCTCTTGTCAGTCCAAGGTATCAACGACTGGTTGTTTTTCATACCAACAAATTTCTTCGGCATATTCCAGATTCTCCTGAGATCACAGAGAGAGAAAGTCATATCCTAATTGTCCCGATTGATGCGAATGGTATTCGATATCTGACACCTAATTCTTACCCTATGTCCGTACTTAGGTTATTTATGAATTCAAAAGAGCATACTCAATCGAACTTCAAAGGTATCAAAGAACTTGTTGAAGCAGAACCCACGGGATGCAATTACAGTCAACCTTATTGTGGTATAGCCTCTATTTATCCTTTTCTTCATATCTTCAGATATTTTTATCGTGTTCCTGCTGAATTTCATAATATAGAACCAACTGTGAAGCTAAAGTTACTGTCACGCACATTGTTAATGGATTACTTACCAAATAGTCGCTTGAGTTGGAACGTTACATTTTCCGTAGTTTCCGGTCCTCCTCATACTCATATATTAATTCGTACAGATGGGAACTATACTAAGTTAACTGCATGGTCGTTTGCATCAACTGCAATGTATCCTTCATCTATGCCACTCCCTCGTCCATTAATTAGCGATATTTCAAGCAACAAAGGTGAACATTATTTTCTATACCATTTGAATGCAGCAGCATTTGGTGAACATGGGACCTTATGGGAAACACCGTGGACATTTTGGGTTGTTTTCGAAGCCCAAGAAGTACTACCACAATCAAGTTATATTGATGTAGCTGTTGCTGGCCTGTATGCTGATGAAGATATCTCTACTCACTCTCCTCCACTCTCAGAATTTTTGTCAAGCTTACCACCTTGGGTTACTGTCATTCGGGGTTGTGCTGTTTATGATCATTGGCGTTTTCAGCTGAACTAGTATGAGTTGGGTAAAAATCTAACTATTTTATTTACTGTGATTTACGTTATGTACAAACTCCAGATGTACTACATGGTACGGAATGATTATTTTTACTTTTTAAACAGTTTGAACTATCTAACTTATTTCTGTACTTCTTTAGTTCACAAATATACTAGTTAAAACCTTACTGAACTTTTCACTTCTCCTTTAGAGGGAAAATTTGTTAACCACTTTATTTTCCTTTAGGTTTCAAGATGCCTCACACAATATTACTTGTACAGCCTTCTGTAAAAAAACCAGATACTCGCACATGGTCTGATTATGAAACTGTAGAACAATGTTTGGAGGGTGTATGCAAGATATATGAAGAGCAGCTAAAACGTGAAAAACCTAATGCTCCTACCATCACTTATGATATATCCCAACTTTTCCAGTTCATCGACCAGCTGGCTGACCTAAGTTGTTTAGTTTTTCATGAACCTACATACACATATGTTCCACATCATAAAAACTGGATCAAAGAACAAGTTTATGTACTCCTAAGAAACCAAGCTGGCCAGTAATTAACAATTAATGGACGTCTGTGCAACAATTTTTGCTTGCATTGTAACATCTAACTGAAATATATGTTTTAGCTGCCCATTTTTGTTTTTTTCTGGGGCTTGTGATTGTTAGTGGTAAAATTAACTATTCATTCTAATTTTTAGTACGACTTATTTAGAATACTGATTCATTTTACTGTTAGGAGTTAGTGTTAGGCTCCACTACATTCTGCGTGCTTGAATTGAACCATAAACCGTAAACGTAGCTTGACTGTTTAGTTGTTAGCATTCTTTTCTGATTGAAATTGTCTGGAAATTTTCTAAGGTACTGACACTGTTTATTTGAGAATTTGACGTATCAAATTCTTACAACTGTCGCATTTTCTCGGTTTCAGCTTACTAGTTGTCGTTTGCTTTGTTCGTTTTTTTCTTCACTGCTCAAGTTGTTGCAGTATATCTGCTGATCTCTGTCTATAACTTGACGAAAGTTTTCAAATCTAAGTTAGATTGCGTGGCTCAAAATCGCTTGTGTTGGTACGGATGCACCCACTCTTTATCTTGCCTCAGATTCTAATCTTCTGAATTCTTCGTAATTTTCTTTGTTTCAATAATCTACAATTTCTTGAATCTTATTTTCGATGCCTAAACTTTTGTATTGTCATTTAAACTGACTGTCTTTAGTCTTCTAGCGTATCATCTAAATGCCTAAAACAGTTAAAATCAAAACAGGAGACTATAGTTTCTAAGGAATGACATCGATTTTGTTGTATAAAGTAAATTCTCATCAACAATAACGAAAGGATATCTGCTTGGTTTCTTTCAAACGACACCACTTGTTTGCCAGACAAGATCGAGGATACTGCGCAGAAGTTTTTTATATATTGCTTTGCGATTACATAGTACGCCCTTTGTAAGAATGTTTGTAAACTGCTCTTTTATCCTTCTGGTCTGGAAAAGATTGCCTAGGCACAAAACCACCGAATAAGCAATGTTAGGCATATGAACAGTTAAGGGTAGTGAACCTCTTGTTTAGACTGCTAGCCACGATTTACTGCTCATTCCCAGACATCTGTTACCTCAGCGCGCTATTTTCGCTATTATAATAGTGTTTTGAAGATAGACTGGGAGTGGCTAGCCCAAGTTATGATATTAATGTATGTAGTCAGTGGCTGTTAATTTTGGCTCTTTATACTGGCATAGATGTTGTCGGTACCTATGATTAAACCATAAAATATACTTTGAGACTGATGTAGTTTATGATTGTTCACATTGTTGCATTCATTCGTCATGTCTTAAAGTCTTGAATATGGTATTGTTCCACATGTTATGCGTCCCAACTTCGGTGCAAAAATTATTTCTTACTTTTGGCCGATTAAAATAGTACAGGATATGAATCTCTATTTTATCATCCCAAGTTGATACACTTTAAAACTAACGGAAGCAAACAATTACTGGAAGAAATATTAATAAATTAAATAATAAAAATAAGTGGTATTGAAAAATAGGCTTAGAGTGATATGATCTTCCTTATGTGATGGATTTCTAGTGTGTCTTAACTGTTTGTTTAGTGAATTCAGAACAATTTTGTTGCAATCAGCTCATTGAACTCCGACGTTAATCACTAAATCTATAGTTCATTCATTCAGTTTAATTTTTGTGGATTCGCGACGAGTTTATCTGAATTAAGATGTTAGACATTCGAAATTTGTTATATGAAGGTACTTAAAAGCCAGATACTTGTTCTATCTGTTTCAGTTGGTATGAGACTAAAAGTTTTTTTTGCACGTCCTCATTTCCCAGTTGGAATACATCTAGGATATGGAGATCTCGTTCAGCCGTCCCATAATATGCAGTCGTTCGTGTTGACCACTCGATACCCTTTTATATTTATATATATGGCCAAATGCCCTGGTACAGCCGAGAGTGGGGAGAGTCCGCTCTCTCACATGGCCACGCGTATATAGCCTCTGCCGGGGAAGTCCTACTCATTGCCTTCTCGCACCACGGGTGTTGCTTACGAAATTGGGAGGACGAAAAGCGAACGTCCGGCGCTTTAACCGGGTTGGTGGATACGGAGAGTCCACCTAGGGGATTTGGAAAACCCTGATTCCAAACCAGTGGTGCACATGGGCTCCAGTATCCTAAAGGAACAAATGGCGTATGAATCAATTGTTGGTCACCGGTTACCATGGGACTGCATCTCCTTACGTTGCTCCACTGCCTTGTGGATCAGACCTTCAGGTCGAAGGCTCCGGGTGTGGCCCCCTAAGAAAACCACCTGCTTCATTTTGGGCACCCGGGCAGTATCACAGCCCTCAAACATATCAAATGAGATCTGTGTGACGCATATGTATTTGGTGCCTCCTTGTACTAATATCTATGTGTTAAAATAAATAAATAAATTTGCCAAAACCCATTACCATGTACGATATAATAACAGCATATATATTTCTGCTCTATGAGAACTCGATCGAGCCCTTTATATTCTCCATATGATTTTGTTGGTAACCAGCTTATCATGGGTTTAAGTAACCGAAGATTTTATGGTCCGTGTGATAGTCGCTCTTAGTAGGGTTAGATGGTAATGTCACATACACTTGAATATCATTTTGTAGATGGCTTTTTCAAATTCGCAAAGGTTCTTTAATTCCTAAATTATATTTTAAACTGAGTGTTGCTTTCATATAACGATGCGGAGGTTGTTTTGGAGAACAATTGATTTCCATAAGGTAAATGTACAAATCCTAACTAAGCGTTCAACAGTTGTGTATGGTGTTCTCTTCATATTCAACTTCTCGAAAAAATGAATTACTTTACTAAATCATCTTTTTTACCAGGTACCATAGCTAAATTGAATTATCACTCGGATGTTCAATGAATTTGTCCAACAGTCGTCTGAATCCGATGGTGATTGGGAGGTTCGTGATCCGTTTAAAAGTATGTCACTAAAATACGTTAATATCTTTATAGTCACAAACTCTTTACATTGATTTATTTTAGACCTAAAAGAGCATGAAATATACATAAAAAGAGAGTACTTACTATGGGTTTCTATCGTCTAAATAATTACCTTAAATAATTAAGATCCATTATAGTTAAATGTCTCAGCAGTTCGTATTATGGGTCTCATGTTAAATCTAACCAAATAATCATACTTAAAATGTACCCAAGCAGCCAGAGTTAGCATTTAAAGATGACTTCATATATCGGTGAACAGTTTCCGGTAAGCCTAAACACACTATGTTGAACTTCAATACTATTTTCATAGTGTTCCCATGGGGCCAGAAACGACAGACGCGAACATTAAACAATTTTAGCTAGGGTAAACCAGATTATACCAGATGAGTTCAAAGCGGGTCACCTCATAATGTTGTAGGCTAAATCTTTCACTACAAGACTGAAGTTTGGTTTCACTTCTGTCTCTTTAGTTTTGGTTATGCAGTGATTAATCTTTTTTTATTTATTTGAACACATAAATATTGGTACAAGGGGGCACCATATATATATGCACCACACGAGAGATTAATCTTATCGGTAACATAAATGCTCATTAAATTTTTGATTATTTCAAACGCTTCATAACTTGGCCATCATCACTTGAGAATTTCGTAAAGTGTACTTCACAGTTTGATGATATTAACCTTTAATTTATTGGCCAAAATAACTACTTTAAAATGGGCACTAGGGCAAAACGGTTATCTGAGTTAGCTGACAGAACAGCATCTTCTGCGTCCCCCGTTATTTTACTGAAGTAAAGTCTATTTCTTATAATCTGACGAATTATGATTGTTCGTCATACCCATGTTAGTGGCCTGCTACATAAAGTTTTAATGGGAGATTTTCACTAAATATTGCTACTCACATATGGTGTATTCAGTTCATTAGGTTCCCGTGAACTAGGATTGCAAAAGATCTATAAATACTTTTATAAATTCGAACTTAACTTGCTCCTGATAAGGTGTTTGAAATGTCAACCAACCTTAGGTCTTTGTTTTTGAAGATCTGATGAAGACAAGACAAGCTCACTAGATATAATTGCAACTAACCGTTACATAGTTGTTAGAACTCTCCGCCAATGATGAGAGCTCCTAATAGTTGCTATTAATCAGTTACTTGAAAAGTGAACTAATAAAATCCACATAAAAGTTGGTGAAATGAAACAACTGGAGTCCTATTTAGGTGCTCAGTTCATAATTTTAAGTTTAACAGTTAAGATATAATTATCCACACAGAAAATTAGTCGACTAATATCAAGATAGGACATATTTGTTAATGGTTATCAAAGGACATAAATCTTCAAATAACTTGATAACATGAATTATATGTATGAACAGAGTTATTCTCAACCGTTCATATCTTTGTAGTATTTTCTACTGTAGTTCAAAGTAAACCGTATTCACCTGTACTTCTACCTATTTTCAAATGTAGACTTCAAATTTACTCGATATTTGAAAGAAGAGGTTGTTCAGTCGATAA